AGGAAAAAATTTTAAGGCTTGCAAGACAGTGTACAGTACGTGATTTCTCAATCTCTTCTTGGGTTTTATCAAAAACGTAGCGATGCTAATTATTGTATACGGTAAAGATTTCAATGGGTAACGAAACAGATAAGTAACGTAAACATGCTTCTAGTATATTATGCATAGAATTAATTTCCATTTAAATTGAACATGGTTAAATAGTTGTTGTATTTATGAATCAAGAGTACTATATGTCAACAATATCCTCAATGTTTTCTGCCACACGGCGGCAACACATCTAATGGAAAATCGCATGTTTGTAATACTGTATTCCATACTAAACCTGAAACATACAAAATGATGTTGATTACCAAGCGCAAAGAGTAAAATAACATGTACATGTATTATCACCTTTATAATGCTCTCGAAAAAAGATTCACAGTGTGCTGTAGCGACTAAAAGTTTCTATAAAATTATCAATATTGTTTTACAAATGAATAAAGTACCGCTAGCATAAGATGTAATACTTAGCACATGCGCATTCTAGGTATTAGCATAAAACATGAACATGACAAATAAAGTCATCGGTGCATAATGGATCATATTAAAATCTGAGATCAGTTTCTCAATTACTCTCTGCTTTTGGAAATATAATACGGTATTTTCATTAGTCCGGCTGATACATGCCAGCATGTACCAGTTACTTACAATGTCTTTAAATTAATTTTAAAAACATATGCCAGAGAATAGCCATGTAATACATTTGTAATTTTATGCAACGCATTTATAAGATATTTTCATTATGCTCGTTTCTATGATAAGAAAATGTTTGTTTAGCATAAATCATTGTAAATATTAAAAACAATTCTTGTTCAAATTCAGTTGTCATTTGACAGAGAAAAATGACATTTAATGAAAATAAAGGAAAGAAAATAAAACAGTATAATATATTTATTAGTAAAGTCCAACAAAGGCTTTACACGTATATATTTAATGTATGTCAGGTAATATGCAGCGCTCATTTTATTATTTTCGCTGATAAGCATCCGTTTCCGGATCAGTAAGAATAATATATATCTCAGGTTCTTGATATGAAAAAATGAAATTGTAATCACTTACCATTTGCACATTTATGATGTCCGTACAGTATACCATAAGAACACATATAATACCATTGACAATTTGTCTCCAAGTCGGGATAACCTCCATCATCTCTTACCGAGCAGTCCCGGAATGTACCACATGGAGTATGAACATTAAGTGCACTGTCACAAAAAGAGAACCATTCCTTGAATATGAAGTTAAAAGTTTACATTTATGATACAAAATAATATTATTTTAAACATTCGAACTTTAATGTGAGCATTACGAGAATTGCCTTATAGTGAATGGTAAAGTTAAATCAGAAAAAATTAAATAACTTCATTATGCGAATCATTTGTACTACAGCATGCTGCTGTCGTTGGCAAATATGTCGCTTTCTGAGACCGATATACTAGATCTATACGGGATTATTGTCGACACTGTTCGAAAATTTTCTACATATAAACAAGTAAAGATATATCATATCGGTATTTAGTTTGAAAGAAACAAATTGAAATACAGCTTTATAGATTGCGGGAATTGCGAAAAAAACGTATGTTGTTACAATATGTCATGTGATACACAATGAAGTAAGCTGCGAACATCGCCTTATCTAGGTGATTTCTGCTCTTATAAGTTAACATTAAGAAAGTAGTTATTATTTGAGATTTTGCAGACATATAACACTGACGTGGTGAAAAAAGAAACCTGTAGTCCATGAGAACCAGTAATTTTTGGACGATGTCAATCAGTCTGTGCCTCTTATAGTCCTTATGTTTCAACTATTTTTATGCCAACAAGGGTCTGTAGATTTACTCGAGAGTGCATTAAATAAACTCCAAGCTGCATAGCGTTATGTATGTTCAAACAAAAGACAGGTAAATGCTCGAAATGCAGACAGTCTTGCTTGTTTCACCTCTGTGTCAAATATATGCTTAGTATATACAAACTTGTCACATTCTCCCGTCTCTTCATTTACAACTTTTGGTATGGTACAATCCAATTTTCTTGTCGTGTTATCAGTACAAAAGATGGCGGACTGACAGCTTGATTCATATACTCCATTCGGTTTTCCAGTGCAATCAAAACAGCTTATTAAACCTGGCCAAAAATACATAAATCATTTATGGTGCATCAAAACACAATTCGTACTAATAAAATGATGGCCAGGACTGCAAATTTGATAATGGTTCAGACTTATTTTGAGTTTTTACAGAGGTAGAGAGAAAAATACAAGCTACATTCTACGGCACCTATCACTGGCTTTAGAAAAACTCAACGCTTAAGTAATAATAAAATGGTTTTTAGTCATATTTTATTTAAAAACATAATTCTTAGAAAATACATACCGATTATATAAAATAAGATTACAAGGACACGGACTATTTTCTTTGGCATCATTTTGTTCTATAATTCTTTCTGAAATAAAAGACGAAAATATTGATATTTCTGAATCGTGGTTATTTCTGAAGGTTACTAACCTTCTAATTCTATATTCTATTTTATTGTGTATGTTATAGGCGCCTCGTGTTTGAAAAGAAAGAGTGCATAATAATTCAGTGTGAGATATATGTTATTTATAGTAGCCACAAAAAGCCGCAACAGAACATGTAATTTTACATTTTTGAGCAACGAATACTGAAATTACTCCGTTTCAGGAGAAACATCCCGTTCGTGCAATGCATAATTTCACAAGAACATCCGGAAGATTTAACTGTAAGCACATCTAGGTGTTGTAGCAGTAAGTGGAACACGCAACACTGATTGGTAGCCAAAGGTTGATGCCTTTAGGTCAAAGCCCTCGCTCTCTATAATCATACAGATTGAAATATGAATGTTAAAATAGTACATGTACTATGTATACTTACGCTACTTATTCACAGTTAGATCAATCCGGCTCTTAACACGTATTACCTTAAACAGGTCATTAACTTTACATACCATTATCGCAAAGTTTATGTATGAAATCTCTAAAGATAAGAAAAAAATGTGTCACATTGCACTGAAGTAAAAGTGTTATTTTAAATACTGCCTTATTCAGTACGTTTTTGTACAACTTTCTTAGTGTATGATAAGATCATTTATAAATATATAAATGAAGTTTAAAATCATCTTTTATATATTCGTGTTTCATATGAACTGAAACTTGCTGTCCATTCATTTTACTGACCTCGGTAAACTTAAATGAAAATAAATAATGATGAAAATAATAAGAATTATACTTAGCAACAACAACAACAAAGTATGCTAAAAAAACATGGGATCATAACATTAACATAATTGAAACAGGACGTTTGCCATATATTTGTGTTGTCTTTGTCCGTAAATGCGCTCGTAAATCCAAACGAGAGGCATATGTGCACGTGCGAACGTCACATTCATACATTCTTGGTTTAGGTTTTAACGCGATATCATTATGAATTTTGTATTTCATTGTCAGAAAAAAATCGTTCAAATTCAATTCTTCAAAGTTCACAATTGGAAATTTCAAGAAACTCTTTTTAACGTTAGAACACTCCCTCATAACAAATGTGTACGTTTTTAATAACTTCACTAGACACTTTTTTCTGTAGGATAAAATTTTCAAAAATCCAATTCTTTGAAAGAAAAAAATTAAATTCAAATTAGAAATTATAATACGTATTTGACTATGTGAACTATTGTTAATCTAAGACAGAAGAGCCGAAAATGCGGAGGGCTGTTGATAGTAGCGGCTTTCTTGCTTTAGGTAAAATAGTTTTGTTTTGTACTAAACTGTTGTCAAGGAGAATTATTAAGGTTTTAAAAGACAGTGTTGTTCGAAAAGTAAGGCAATTAACGGTTTGATTTTCGTACGCCGATTCAGTGCAGATTAAAACAAAATATGCGCAAATGAACCATTAACATATCTGAGGAGCAAGTTTATTTCCCATAATAAATTCTAATATGTTGCGTATGTTTCACCGGAGGGATCTTCTGTTTATGATAATTAAGAAGAAAATGATGGAATTATTAAAATTCAGGGTGATATTGAAATTATTTAATTAAACTTTCCTAATTCATATATTCTTTTTGCTGGAGATACAAATGCTAGAACAAAAAAATTACCTGATTTTATTTATGATGATAATTTAACGTATATATTTGGTGACTCTGATTATAACGGTAGTACATTTTTTTTTACCTCGTGACAATAAAGATGGCGTTTGTAATAATTTTGGAAAATCTTTGCTTAATTTATGTTGTTTGTATGATATTCACATTTTAAATGGGAGATATCCAAATGACACATTAGGGTATCAGCGTTGTCGACTGTATAATAGCTAGTTCAAATTTATTTGAATATATTGTAAATTTCAAAGTTTTAGAAAATGATGTATCTGATCATCTCCCTATATCATGTTCTCTGTCTTTACCATACAAGGACTTGGTAATTAATGATGTTTCTAATGATAATGATGTAACGTGTACAATTGAACACGAAAAATTTCGTTGGAATGAAGTCCATATAGCTAATTTCTTAAGTCAGTTTGGTAGTCTGTTACCTCAGAAACAAGGTAGAATTATGTCTGAGATAACGACTAATATTGACAGCGCATTGTCTATATTGACAGCCGTTTACAAAAAGGCAGGATCTTATGTGCGAATAAGATCCTTTAGATACAAACAGTCACAGCCCGAATGGTGGGGTGGGAACTGCGATTTATATAAACCTTTCAGGTAAAACGTAATAAGTTTAAGGCGTATTGTCGTAGAAAACAGCTACTTTTTCAGCGCGACCAAAGACAAAAACTCATTAATGTTAGTAATAATCTTAAGGATATGTGGTCAATTATTAAGCGTTCACGTCCTCCGAAAAAGACACTGTGTAATATTTCAGCCAATGAATGGTATGCGTATTTTAAAGATCTTTTGTTCGATGATTCCGCCATATCACTTAACACGGATAATTTGACTGAAATAAATAATGAACAGTGTGTTGATCTAGATCTTTCGTTTACTCGTGCTGAAATCGAATCAGCCATTAATAATTTGTCTAATGGCAAAAGTCCCGGACCTGATGGCATACCATCAGAGTTTTATAAATATACATTAAATGACAGTATTAACGTTATTGAAGCGTTGTTTAACAGAAGACGGGCGTCTTTCCTAAAATTTGGGTAACGGCAATCCATAAAAACGGGTCGATTAATGACCCTAGTAACTATAGAGGGATTTCTGTAACGAATACTCTGTATAAAGTATTTTCTAGACTTATCAATACTCGACTTTATAATTGGGCCGAAAATAATAATAAAATCGACGAGTCACAGGCCGGCTTCCGACACGAGTACTCAACGGTAGATAATATATTTTGTTTACAGGCAATGGCTCAGAAATATTTAACAAGAAAAGGTGGTAGATTCTATTGTATTTATGTTGATTTTAAGAAAGCATTCGAAAAATTAAATCACGCGAAGCTTTTTGAAATATTATATCGTAGAGGTATCCGCGGCAATTTTTTACGCTAACTCAAGACTATGTATACCGATCTATTATCGTTGTAATCATGCTAAAAATAGACCAAATTTTAATGATAACAATTGCTGTTATTTATCTACTGATTATTTCCCCTGTAATGTTGGAACAAAACAGGGAGACGTAAGCAGCACAACTATATTCATACTTTTTATTAATGAATTAGCGGAGTTACTACGTCTCTCGTGTGGAACAGGAATTTTTATAACTAACGACATACATGGTATTAACTGTCTTATGTTTGCGGACGACATTGCTAATTGCGCAGAAACCGCTGTCAAATTACAGCAACAAATTAATGTAATAGACGTATTTTGTCAAGATACGGGTATGGAATTGAATTTAAACAAAACAGAGATTATGGTATTCCGTAATGGAGGTGGTCTTAGAAATTACGAACCTTGTTAATGTAGTATCAATTTATAAATATATGAGTGTTTATCTTACACCTACTATATCTTGGTCATCAACACATAATAAATTGTCTATTCAGGCCAAGAAATCTATTCTAGCCATCAAACAGTATCAAAAGATTTTGATATTTTCCAATCAAAGAATACTGTAAATTATTTAATGCTTTGGCGAAACCAATATTATATTATGCCTCACAAGTATGGGGTAATTGTTATGTAAATACTATTGAAACTGTTCATAATGATTTTTGTAAAAGGTATCTAAATGTTAATAGAACTACAAATAACGCAATGGCACTAGGAGAATGTGGCAGGTTACCGTTATGTATATTTTATATGACTAACTATATAAAATATTGGTGCAAGTTATTGACTATGCAACAATCAAGATATCCGCGACAATGTTATCTTATGATAAAAAAAATCATGATGATACTGACAGATATAATTGGGCTACTAAGATAAAACATTTATTATTCGAGTATGGTTTTGGGTTTGCCTGGATTTCGCAAGAAATAGGTAATCCTGACCTGTTTATCCATTTGTTTAAACAGAGACTGGTTGATTGCTACACTCAAAATTGGCATAATGATATTAATACTTCTAGTCGCTGCTTTCATTATAGAAATTTTTTAAATCACTATTAAATGTAGAAAAATACTTAATATTGGATTTACCATTTGTTTATAAAAAATCTTTTTCTTAGTTTAGGTGTTCTAACCACAAACTTAAAATATAAATAGGCAGACATCTAAAAAATACCAAGAGAACAACGCTTTTGTACATATTGTTTACATAATAGAAATATCTCAATTATTTCTAAATAAATTGACTAATCGCGACAGAAGTATGCCACTGTTAATACATGTAATTTTATACTTTTAGGCAACTGATACTGAAATTACTCCGTTTCAGGAGAAGTTTCTCGTTCGTGTAATGCATAATTTCACAGGAATATCCGGAATATTTAATTAGCACATCTAGTTGGTGTAGTGGTAGGTGGAACACGCAACACAGATTGGTAGTCAAAGGGTGTTACCTTTACGTCAAAGCTCTCGCTCTCTATAATCATACAGATTGAAATATGAATGTTAAAATAGTACATGTACTATGTATACTTACGCTACTTATTCACAGTTAGATCAATCCGGCTCTTAACACGTATTACCTTAAACAGGTCATTCACTAAACATACCATTATCGCATAGTTTATGTATGAAATCTCTAAAGATAAGAAAAAAATGTGTCACATTGCACTGAAGTAAAAGTGTTGTTTTAAATACTGCCTTATTCAGTAAGTATTTGTACAACTTTCTTAGAGTATGATTATATCATTTACAAATACATGCATCTAAACGTAGTTTAAAAAATGTTTTATGATATTATATTTCGTGTTCCAAAAGAACTGAAATTGGGTTTCCATTCATTTTACTGACCTCTGTAAAGAAAACTTGGTAAACTTTAATGAAAATAAATGAAGATGAAAATTATGACAGATAAATACTAAGCAACAACAACAACAAAGTATGCTAAAAACATGGTATCATAACTTTAACATAATTGAAACAAGACTTTTGCCATTTTTGTGTCCTATTTTGTTGTCTTTGTCCGTAAATGCGCTCGAAAGTCCAAACGAGAGGCATATGTGCACGTGCGAACCCAACATTCATACATGTATATTGATGTTAACCCTACACCGGCTGTGTATATGTATATAATAGAAAATTATACGATTATGGCACATGTTGTCGAGTTGATATATATATATGTTTCAAAAGATTGACTATTCTAATGGTGATTGACCAATGATTGATAATTAAAAATATTAAAAAAGTTGAATGTAAAACTGCCTAAAATATAATTAGGATGACCCTCTCTGTTTATCTTTTTAACAACTGAGGATCATTTCTATAGAAATTTCCGTGTGTCAAGTGAATATTCATTAAAAATAGAATATGAAATAGGAAACAAATGACAAATCATAAACTCATTTGGACTTTTACCTGTTTTCTCAATATTTACACTTGGATGGGCATA